ACATTTCTATCTTCACTCTCGACCCGCTTCGATTTTAATCAGCTCTCCAGCAATATTCAGCATAATTTAAAGTTAGTTTCTGATTGTGGAGCGAGCTCCCTGCATGGCGTCAGTTGATGAGCTGCTGGCAGTGCCTTAATCAGATGCCAGTTGTGGCAAGAGTAAGAGCGTACGAAGGCATCTCCGCTCAACTCCGAGACAATGATGTCCCATAGACGCAGGCACGCATACACAAGTAGTTGGCCGGCTGGGCTAGGAGCTGGTCAGCTGGTCGGCTGGAGGAACGGCGATAATGATAAATACAATATAATGACACGGCAATTGTTGACAACATCAAGTGCTGGACAGGGCGAAAAGTCGCCAGCCAGTGAGCCAATCAGTCCGTCAGTCGGTCAGTTCGTCAGCTCGTCAGTCTGCCAAGCTCATGAATGAAAGAGGTCCAGAGCGGGGCGTCAGAGTGCGCTGGGATGCGGCGAGCTGTCTGACTGGCTGGCTGCCTCAGCCTCAGGCTCAGTCTCTGCCTCTGTCTAAAGGGCCGATACTCGAACGGCACAATGGCAGCTCTCTACACACACACACACACACACATGCACATGGACAGCGAGGGCATAGAGAGGCGGCTCAAGTGGGCACTCGTCGTCGTCGGCTGGCTGTTGCGAGCGAGTGCGAGTGAGATGGCAGCCCTACACACGTATAGGCTGGCCTTGTTTGGCGCAAGGATGCGCGCTCAACAACAAATGGTGGTGGTTGTTGTTGCTGCTGCCGCCGCCTCTATTGCTGGTGGTTGAATGAGCCACTCACATAGTTGCTGCTGCCGCTGCTTCTGCTGCTGCTGCTGCTGCTGCTGCCGCTGCCGCTGCTGCCGACGTAGTATCCTTGTTGAAAAGGACATGAGAAGCCACTTAGTAAAAATGCGACGAACGCGCCGCGACTAAACAACAGCCAGAAGAGAGACTCTCTATGTGTGCGAGTGTGTGCGAGTGTGTGTGTGTGTGAGGCTATATACCCAATGGTGGATGGATGCACCATATACAAAGCATACGTACGTACGTGTGTGTGTGTTCGTGTCTGTCTCACTGACTATATGTGTGTGTGTGTGTAGTTTTTGGTACTTTTGCGCCGTTGGCTGCTTGGACTCGTGTCGAGTTCTTGATGTCTCGTTAGTTGTTGATGACACTTCAGTTTGGAATGTTTAGAGTGCGGCTGACAACGCAAACCGAACTCGAGTCGACAACAAGATCGAAATCAGTCTGACTACGCAGCTCGAGCTGAATCTCAAACCGAAATCGCATCTAATCAAAGCCAAAATCAAAACTCTAAATGTTTCATGCAAATGCAAACTAAATCGAAATTCGAATCGAGATCGAAACCGGAATCGAAATCGAAATCGACATCGAAATCGCAGTGAATCCGCCTTGCCACTTATTATGATAACGTGCGGTGCTCGCAAAGCTCTGGCCAAGTGTTGAAATTGTGTTTGGCTGTACTAGACAATCCCTTGGGGATTTATCTACGCATTTCGTTTTCATTTTTTTTTTGCACGTGTGACACTTGTGAATTTGTACGGCCGCAAAGTGGCGGAGAAACGCAAAGGTACGCCGTCGCCGACGCCGCCGCCGGCGCAGCAGCGGCGCAAATCGGGCAACGCAACGCCGCCAACGGCCGCGCCCCCCGCGCCGCCGGCGCGCCCAACGACGCCCACAACGGCCACCGACATGACCACGTCGCACAGCCAGCCGGCCAACGTGGAGCGGACGCCCGCCAAGCAGCACAAGGAGCGCACCGCGGAGACGACCAACAGCAGCGGCAACAGCAGCGGCCTGGGCAGCGCCGGCAGCCTGCCCGCCTCGCCGCAGAGCGCGGCGACCGTTAGCCCCGGCACGCCCACAACGCCCAAGCGGCCGCTGCGCACGTCGACGCCCTCGCTGGAGCGGGCGGCGAAGATCATCAGCAGCACCGCCAGCACCACGGTGCCCACGACGACGACGCCAACGGGCGGCGCCACTCTGACGGCCGCCGAGCACTTGCGCATTCCAACGGGCGCGGCGGCCTTCAGCGGCTTCCCCGGGCTGCACAGCATGAGCAGCCTGATGGTGCCCTCGTCGGCGGCGGTGGCAGCGGCTGCCGCTGCGCCCTTCCTGCCCTGGTCGCCTATTCTCCTGCCGCCCTGGAGCCACGCCCTGCTGCCCGCTGCCTTCTATCCGGCGGCGCTGCGCAACGCTTTGCCTGGGTAAGCCGAACTGACGAACGGAAGAGATCTTGCTTGACTAGCACTCTCTCTTTCTCTTTATTCTTCTCCTTCTATTGCTGCCTCTTTCGCGCTGAGCTTTTCATGAAAGCTCGATCACTTCACTATTGGACTTTTAAGCATGCGTTGGGTATGGAATTCACTTGAGAATATTTGAGTCAAGTCAAGATTCAAGATTTCTTCTTTCTCTTCCTTCTCTATTGCTATCTCTTTTACTCTGAGCTTTGCTCTTGGTAGTTGCTGAATTGAGGAGTTTGATCAGTTGACTAAAAGGGACTTTTAAGCCTACATCTACTTGGATCTGCTTGATTGTTGTTGATCTTAGTTTTATGAATCTTTCAATCAGAGCTTTGCGCGTTTGAGTTGCTGAATTGAAGGTGTTGAGCCGAGCATCTATGGTATATGGGATCTACTTTACTCTACTTAACTGTTTTTGGTCAACTCGTAATAACTTATTACTTTGGTTAACTTTAAGCTCTACTTAAGCCTTAAGGTCAACCCTATATAAAGTTATTTGGGCAGAGAACCAGTAAAACTCTTAGCTCCTCTAAGATATCTACATATTCCGTCACTCTCTATATATACATCCACCTCCATTTGCATATCAAGCCTCCATTTATTCGCATAATTCGCATCTAGACTAAATATCAACTCATTATAGTAGGATCGATTGAGCAATCCATTGAATGATCTACTGAACGATCAATTAAACAATCTATTAAACAACCCATTGAACAATCAATTGAACAATCAATTGAACGATCTATTGAACAATCATATAACGATCGATTGAACAATCCATTGAACGATCTCTTCAATTGCGTGCAGTGACAGCTAAAACCTAAGACCAAGACTTGGCTTCAAGCGAATCGCAATTGAGATTAAGTAATTTGAATATATTTCTGATATTCTAGATTCCTTACAGTCCCATAGTCTATAGCTCCTGTCTGTGTTATTTTATGCCCCCTGTTCGGCTAATGAGCTGCGCCCACACTAATCCCGCTCGGCCGTAACGAGCTTTGCCGGCAATCCAATCAAGTCACTAACTGCCAAACATTGAGCAAATCTGTGGGTTAGGGCACTTGCCCGCTGGCTAGCAAATTACCCAAATCCTGAAGCGAACCGCTTCGCGCTGACCACGTAATTCCCCCCGAGCCGATCCGCAGATTTGCTGGGCTGGTGCATGCTCAACTGTGCTCAAGGCCCAGGGCCGAGCGCTGCTCAAGTGCTTGGCCTGTTCGGGCTGGCTTAGAAATTCCCATAGGTGAGTTGCAGGGAAACCCCAACCGGGCAACATGTGTGCAACAGACAACGCGGCAAATGACGATGACGATGACGACGGCAGCGGCGTCACACTGTCTGGCCGAAGGTTGGGACGACTGCCGAAGGGAATTCCGCTCCGACATGCGGGGAATGCCCCGCTGATGATGGTCCTGATGGACCTGAGCGCGTGGGAATTTCGCGCGCACATTTGGGAAAATTCGGCTGTGGAAAAACCGGAAGCGAGAGCGCTTTTTACTTGCGCCAACATGTGGCCGGCAAATAGTTAGCCCAGCCGGGCTGGCCTGGCCGGCAGGTTGAGGTTCAGGTGAACCCGATGCCAGGTAGCAGCAGCAGCGGCAGAGGATTTGCGTTTAATTGTTGATGGTATTAGTGGAAAATCAAATTTGCATTAGCCCTGGCTTAGCCTCGAACTAAGACGCTGACTGAAAACTGGGCCTGCGGCCGATCCAAGTCCGAGTGCGAGCCTAGACTCGCTCGGTGCTAGGTGTCAATAATCCAGCGATTTGGCTGCACTTAATCAAAGTTAATTCCCAGCAAGTGTGAAAATTTGAGCGACGAGTCGCAGCTCAGTGCAATTTCGCTCGCCCTGGCCCTGGCCCTGGCCCTGGCTGAAGTCAGTGTGCGGCAGGTAGAGGCCGAGCGCACAGGTAGATCCCTAGGTAGTGTGACGAACTGTGACCCGACCAATTTGTTGGCCATTGTGTTTATCTTCCTGTCCGTTCATTCATGAGCAGTGAAAGACACCGGATGTCGGATGTGGATGTGGCGGCAAGTGTTGAATCGACAATCGAAACTGTATTGCTCTTGTTCTCTCCTTTGCAGCCTCTTCGATGCCAAGGTGCCGTCGTCGCAGCGCTCCGGCTTTCATATATCCGACATACTCAATCTGGATGGCTCTGAGCTGAAGAGTGCCGCAGCAGCGGCGGCAGCGGCCGCGCACCACAGCACCCACAGCCACAGTCACAGTCATAGCACCCACAGCGGCGAACTGGGCGCTGAGCCGAGCAATGGGCATGGCCATCCGACGCCCACGGCTCTGTCGCCCACGCCCAACTCAGCGCTGCCACCGGCGCCGCCCAGCAACCCGGATGAGCATGTGACGCCCGCAGCGCACGGCGATCACCAGACCACGGATCACTCGGCCCAGCACCACCTCCAACAGCAACAGCAGCAGCAGCAGCACCAGCACCTCCAGCACCACCAACAGCAGCAGCAGCTCCACCATCCGCATCTGCACCATCAGCCGCATCATCCAGTCGCCCCGCTGCCCTTGTCGCACCACCAGAGCGCGGGCGGCGCCCAGCCGCCCATGCCCCACATGGGCGCCCACGCCAACGCCGCCTCCGCCCAGGCCGCTGCCCATCTGCTGGCCGCCGGCCAGTATCTGCCAAAGAACTTCGCCAGCAGCTTCGACGAGATGTCCTCGTACCACCACATGGCCCAGACAATGCTCACCCACTCGGGCCGCAGTGCGTGGATCAAGGAGAACGAACTATATGGTAAGTCCTTACACCATCCAAATAGAATATATTTTAGACTAGGATTAAATGCAGACATTTACTTTGAGTATTGGCGTCTAGTCTAGTTATATATTTTATATCATATTATAAAAGATATTTTTGAAATTTCTCTCTCTCTCTCTCTCTCTCTCTTATTTCGTTGAGCTCACTGAAAATGTCAGCTAATGAATTCTGTAAAAAATCTTGTGAGGGATAGAAGCAGACTTGATCTGATATATAGTAGTATTTCGATTAAGTTAGTATATATAGCAAAATATACGGAAAGTAGTATTTAGAGTCTCTTATCGGATATATCGAGTGCTGACATCCATTACTTCTATTATTTTATTTTCCTAGTCGAACAGCCCCATTTAAAGCACTCCCATATGATTCGGCCGTATAACATAGATTTACAGCTGCAAAGACTTTTATTCAGCATTAAAAGGCATATGAACTTTCGTATANTTAATTCTCATTTAAATTAATTAATTAATTTACATTTAGTTAATATTCGAATATGTAAAAATGTAAAAAATATAAAAAATTACCAATTGAGCTTTTAAATTTCGTCTTCCCATTTTATTGTAAGACGGTTAATTTTTACAATGTTGAAGCTATATCAGCATATTTGACTTGACATACAAGTGTGACATCAACCACGCAGACTACTAGATTGTTTGATGCTGAGCAAGGCACGAACATATTTCAGAGCTGCGCAAGCGAACTTTCGTTATCGGATTTTAAAAGAACTAGTTCGATTTTTATACCCTGAACCCATTGAAAATGGGAAATCAGGGTATAATGGTTTTGTGAAAAGTATGTAACAGGCAGAAGGAATCATCGCAGACCCCATAAAGTATATATATTCTTGATCAGCACGACGAGCTGAGTCGATATAGCCCTGTCCGTCTGTCCGTCCGTCCGTCCGTCCGTCCGTCCGTCCGTCCGTCCGTCCGTCCGTCCGTATGAGCAAAAGGATCTCAGAAGATATAAGAGCTAGAGAGCTGAAATTTGGCATGCATACTCGTGTATACCATAGGCAGTACAAGTTTGCTTTATTTTTTCGATAACTCGTCCGATAACTTTTTTATCGAGAATAATCGAAAAATCGACATTGTTTTTTCAGCTTAATTTGAACATTTTTAGACCTGGAGACTTCAAATTTGCGTTGTATATAAAGTTAGTAGATACAAAGATTTTGTAATTTACAGATTTTGGATACCACGCCCCCTTCGCCCCAAATTTGTAAAAAACGCATTTCAAGTACTAGAGACTTGTGCTTTGGAATGGACACACATTTTAGCTACATGATTACGCTCTAAAAGTTTTATTAGGATCGTATGTCTACAAAAGAAATTATTCAACAAATAAATTCTCACACTGCAGTGCAGCCCAAGCGCAGCCGCTGCTAGCTGCGCAGTTTGCAGAGCGCGTGCTTATACGTGCATGTGTATGTATGTGTGCATAATAGAAGTCCAGAATGATTAGAATATCAGTTTGGAGGGTTCAGGGTATCTCCTAGTCGAGCAGTCTCGACTGGAGCCTTCTTACTTGTTTATTTTTCGTTTTGTTCATATGTCGCCGTCTCCGTCGCCGTTGCCCTCACCGTCCCCTGCCGCGTTGTTGTCGCGGACACAACATTGTTCAGTCATTCCTTTCGTATAAGCCTGGAAATTTATGGCACGCACTTCCGTTTCGTCCTTTTTCGCTTTTGCACGGCCTTTCCTTGTTTTATTATACCAATTTCATTTTTTTCCTTTTGTCTTTTCGTTGATATGGTGCTCCAGCTACAAATTATAATTGTTGCCTGTTTGCCGTTTTTTTTTTCTCTCTCTAATTTTTTTTTTTTTTTTGGGAAATTTCACAGCTGTAAGTCGAGTCGTTTTGATTATATTAAGTTATTAATTTGTTGAGTTGTCATGGTGAGGACGAGTCTCGAGCTGGACGGGAGCGGGAACCGAGAGAGGGTCTGGGGCCGGTTTAGACGGCCCTCCTCCTGCTCCTCCAAGTTCTGTTTAGTCAATTGTGACGGAATGCGCAATGCAAGCCAGACTTGAGATGGTCTTTAATGCGAGGATCGCACACAAAGGCTGAAGCCAAACGCCTCTGGCCAATAAATCAAGGCAATTGTATTGGCGATATCAAAAGTGGGCGTTGGGCAATAGCGGAAGAGAGGGAGCCGGATGCAGGATGCAGCACACAGAAGTCAGGGGCAGGGCCAGGGGTAGGGGCAGGGGCGGCCATTAGGAGGCAGCGCTGTTTGAGGTTTGGCTTTTGTGTCGCATCCCATTGTCTGCCAGTTACAGACCTTAATGTATTTTCATTAGCATTTGGTTATGTATTCTCTTCCTCTTCCTCTTGCAAGCTCCCTTTCTCGCTCGCACTCGCTGGCAGCACGGCACAAACAATGACAACAGCAAAAATAATAAAAGAATGAAAAGATCGCACACAAACAGCCATCGCAAAAGGCAACACTGCGAAGGTCAGAAGGCAGACGAGCAATTGCCCTAAAAGGTGTAACTCTGCAGGGTTGCCTCTGTCTCTGCCGCTGCCCCTGTCTCTGCCGCTGCCTCTGCCTCTGTCTCTGCCGTCAGCCCAGTCAACCAGGTAGCATCCGATCGATCGAGCCTAGTCAATGGCCCGCTCCTTCTAATTGACGTTATTAGTTGTACCCTCTCCCTGCTCTCCGCTCTGCGGTGTTCGTGGTTCGAGTCAGGGTCGCTTGCATCTGCACTGCCACCCCTCATCCCTCATCCCTCCAACTCTCTAGCTGCAGCCTAATCCAATTGTACGACTCGTTGGCGGTTCTGCTCTTTACCCACTGCCAATTTCTGCCTGCTCATGTCCATTGGGTGTGTGCCTGCGTGTGTTTGGTGTGTGTGTATGTGTGTGTTTGCATTAATTTTTCTAAATTGTTGACAAATTGACTCTACAACTAGACTGAGCAGAGTCGGGCGCTAGATAAATACAGACTGTGAGCCACAGCCCTAGTTCTTGCCTAGTTCGCTTTCAAATTTCTTGTTCAACAATTTTGCTGTTTCATATGTGGTAGATATTCTATATATATAGTGTATATATATATAAGTATAAGTATACATATTCTTATGCATATATAAAGCAAACTTTAACATTAGTTTTTGTCCTCTTTAGATGCGTTTCTTAGTATGGATTGCTCATCTTTCACATCTTTTGCCAATGAAAATTCAGTTCAGCAGATTCGTTATTTTGTAGTAAATAAATAATAGTTGATCTATGTTTTCCAATCCTTTTTTTTATTAAAGAGAATTAAAGTTAGTTTCCAATTTTGACAAGTCGTCGAAAGTTAATACAGTCCTGTCTCGATTTTTTGAACTCCTCTAAATCGCAAATCACGATAAATCGAAAAAAAACCTCTATCCTTTTGAATAAAATTCGTTCTCAATAATTCTCGATAATTTGAATTTTTGTGTAAGTCGCAAAAAACTGATTCCCTTGCCATTTCGAATTATCGAGACTCTGCTGTACCTACTTATATTTCGATATTGATTTTCTATATAAACTATATACTATACGGGCAGCCTTCTGACTGATTTAAGTTAGCTGATGAAAAATCATTTTTTGATCAATTTTCTGATGCTCCTGATCATTATTATTATCATCAACCAGACATATCGATAGCATATTTAGCTGTCATATCCATATATCATACGTCATCAACGACTTTTAGGATGATCATGACGATCATCAATCAGTATGCTTATGGAATATGGTATAATATAGTATTATCAACAACACTATTCCATTTCAATTGATATAGATATATTAACTAATTCACACTCTTCCCCCTGCTCGCTCTCTCTCTCTCTCTCTCTCTCTCTCTCTCTCTCTCATCAGGTACTCAACAGCCAGCCAGTCCGGATAGCACCTCACCAGTGACCTCCGAGGTCTCCTACACATACATTGGCTCCAATTGCCAGACCTCGCCCGCCCTCTCTGGCGACTACAAGAGCTACAGTCGCTCGGCGGACAGCGACGCGCTCTCTGTGGGCGATGCGCTGCATACGCTGCATGGCAGCGCTGCAGCCGGTGGCACATCAGCGGCGCATGCGTTACACAACAACAACAACAACAATAACAATAATAGTAACAACAACAACAATGACAATAGTCTGAAGCACGATGGAGGCGCCGGCAGCGGCAGCAACCACGACGACAGTCTGAACGAGGACGGCATCGAGGAGGACATCGACGATGTGGACGACGCGGACGGCAGCGGTGGCGGCGGCGTCAATGCCGACGGCATGCCGAACAAGAAGCGCAAGCGACGCGTTCTATTCACAAAGGCGCAGACGTACGAGCTGGAGCGACGATTCCGGCAGCAGCGCTACCTGAGCGCGCCGGAGCGCGAGCACCTGGCCAGCTTGATACGGCTGACGCCGACGCAGGTGAAGATCTGGTTCCAGAACCATCGCTACAAGACCAAGCGGGCGCAGAACGAGAAGGGCTACGAGCACACGGGCATGATACACGGCAACGCCATCCATCCGCATCATCCGTCGGCGCTGCCCTCGCCCCGGCGCGTCGCTGTGCCCGTGCTGGTGCGCAACGGCAAGCCCTGCCTGGGCGATGGCTCCAAGCTGGCTCAGGACTGTGTCAGCACGGCGACGGCCATGCAGAATGCCGCCGCCCATCACCTGGTGGCACTGAACGGCGCCGCTGCCTATCAGCATGCGGCTGCTGCCGCCGCTGCCGGCCTCCACGCGCACGCCCACGCGCACGCCCATCCCCACGCGCAGCGAGCCGCCTGGTGGCCCTAATATTGCTAGCTGCCTGGGTTCGAGTAGGTGGCCGACCTGGATGGCAGCGCCCAACTGACTCTGCCGACTCGAATACTGGACAATAAGCGCGAGCTGAGCTGCGTCGATCGGGCATTCGAACGAACAAAGAGACAAAAAAAAAAAAACAAACAACAACAACAACAAAAACAAACGGAAATTTGGTGCAATAATAAATAAAGAGCCGCGAGTGGTTGCCGTTGCCCATCGGCCATCAGCGAACCCCCCAGACTAGTCTTGGCCAGTGCTCTACGCCAAGCCACGATTGTTGCTGCAGTGTTGCCAGTGACAACAACAACAACAGCAACAACAACCGCAACAGCAACAACAGATATCATTCGTGTAATAAACAAGACGAAGAAGAGATACATTTTTTTCCCTCAGCTCTAAAGCTGTGGGCCACTTAGTCGTAGTCATTTTTTTTTTACACCATTTTTTTTTTTTTTTT